CAAGGAAATCTGTTCCACCTTTATAAGGCAAATATTGCTGTGGAGTTTTTAGGAGCGCACAGTTATAATGAATAACGAATGTATGGTACTTTGTGTAGTGTTTAGCTCAGCCTGAGAAAGAGAAAATAATGCAAGTCTCTTCGTTCTGCCTGTGTGTTCAAACGAAGGAAATCAAAGCTGTTATACCAGAGCTATATATCAGCTAATATATTTTAGGAACTGTGGAATGATCATAATTACAAAAAAGTCCTCCAGAGAGAAATTATGACTCATAGTTTATGTTCTCTTTAGTGTTGCTATGGAAAAAGAGGTTAGTGCCAATGGTCATACAGCAATATTAATCTCTGATCTGAAAGAAAAATAAATAACAATCTCTAGCTTAACCCAAAGCAGATTTATTCTCAGTTACTGCAGCACACTCCATTAAAGAGGATAACCATGTAAGAAAAATTAAAGATGACATTGATTATCAGTTCTCAACGTGCAGTTAGAGAGAGTTCTTTATTTGAATTAGTGTGCACTTCAGACTCCTGCATTCAACTCGGCAGAGTGAGAGGAAGGGAAAAAAGGCATTTTGATCAAAAAGAGGGCAGGAAAGATCAGCCACCACCAACAGCTGCAAGTAAACTGATTAAAATTTCTTTATGCCTGCAGTTAGACTCAGCCTGGGGTTGACGCTGGTTCAAATGCAGATCCCGAAACAAAACCCTGGCAATGGGCAGTTTAAAGTGGTGGAAAGTGGCTATCAGCCTTTTTCCATTTATTTGGGAAAGTGAGGGCCTTAAGTCAGAGAGCGGTGGATACTTGCGTACTGAGTCAGCACCCTCCGGGCTGTTCTGGCATTTGTTTCCTGCCAGTTGTTTTGTTGCCTAGGCAAAACCCTAACCAGGAGTGGAGCCAAACAGCTGTGTGCTTGCTTTGCTCAGGTGGTGAATCTTTTTCTTTGCATGCAGGAAGACTACCTGACACCTTCCTTGTGACACTCAGAGTGAGTGTGGCATGTCTTAGTGGATCACAGTAAAACTTTTCTGCCTGAATGCTCAATTTTGTTTTCCAGAGTTGGAGCTACACTTGCTCTGTTGTATGCAGTTACCAGCAGCAAAGACCATGCAGTCAGAACTTAGCTTGAAATTTTGCTGACAGTGCACCCTGCAAAGCAGGCTATAGCCTTCCTTTCTGCCACACTGTTGTATCTGCTGTGCTGATGGCAGTAAAACTTTTATTCTGTTGATGAGCTAAGCAGGCTGGGTTGGGGAGATACACGGATCTCGTGTCCTGCATGTATGCACACAGCTCTTACTGATGGTCACAGGAGTTGTATGTTTGGCCCAAAATTATTGTATGGCTCAGAGTCCTTTGAGCCAGCTGAAGGCTTTTCACTGACTTTCAGGGATGGACTGGTCCCTTGGGGAACAGTTTGCCAGCTATCAATTGCCATTACTTCACTAATTCTTCTGAGTTTACCTCTTTTTTTAAGTATGCATCTATCAGTCGTCAGTCACATAACTATTTGGCATTACAGCCTATAACAGCAACTGGTTTTCATTGCATCAGTGTGAAGGGCATACAGGTATATTTTACCTTCTGTTCCTTTTCTTCTTCCCTTTCTTCTGTCTCTTTAATCATCAAACATGCTTCAGTCAGGCCCGTGTGAGCGCTTTCACTGCACTCTCTTATTTGACATGAAAAGGTCCAGAAATCCCATATCTGTGCCTTTTCACAGAGGAGCCAGATCATGGATTAGCACGTGGGGGTCAACAGGATGCTCTTTGCCCTTTCCCCTAAAAGGGGACAGAAATGTCAGCTGGTTTTCTGGCATTGAAAATGGAAGTATCAGCAGCCGCTGAGTGCTGCTAGTTTAAATATTTATACCATAAGGACTTTATCACACCCTCTTTCTTTGTGCAAAGCTCCTGCTGATTTCAGTGGAGGTCAAACTCTGAATCTGTGCAGCAGCTAACAGGTCAAGTTTTCCAAGGAATAATGATACGAGTGGAGCTCATAGGCAGGTGCTGTACCTGGGTTATCATATAAAGAAGGGTAAACAAGCAGTTTTTTAAAAAAGTAATTACGTAGACAAACCTGTCAGCACAAGCATGGAATACCCATGCATATGCTTGACATCTGCCAGCTTGACAAGATCCAGGCACATACTTCAGATACTTGAAAGAATACAGTGCTGCTGGTGCCACAGTCTGTCTCCTCCCTGAAACAGTAAGTTTCGCAGACTAATGTTTTTAGTCAGGACTCGAGAATTGAAGGAGAGGGGAGGAAACAGCTTGCAGGACATCTTGGGATCCTGAGCTTGCTTCTTCCTCAGGTTGATAAGATAGCACAAAAGCAGACATTCATGAGTTCAGTAAACATTTTTCTCTCTTGCAAAACATGCTTTCTTAGCTTGTTAGGATTACAGGCCTGCTCGTCCTTGTAAATGCGTGATTGTGATGGAGAAAACGTTTAATTCTAGTCCTGCAACTGATGGCTATGTGTGTAGTGTATCCTGAAGTGAGTATTTGAATTAATTCTCACAGATGCTCATTATCTGCATTTCCAATGGTTTTACTGGATAGCATTGTAATGCTCTTAAAACACAGCGCATGGGATTCGTTTCAGCATCTCTAAAACTGGATAAAGCAGGGCCAGGGGTATTGTTTGAATTAAAGCTTAGTAGGACAAACAAACCAGGCATATCTGAAAGCGAAATGTAAACATGGTGCTGGGGTTCCTGGTTAGCGCTTCGTGGCTGCGGGAAGCTGACAGCTGTTACATAAAGGTTAAACGTGCATTCTTTGGTCTGTCAGTAAAATTAAGCCTGCTAAAGACTATGTGGCACTCTACAAGACAAGAGTTTAACTGTGTGCATAAACAGAATATACACTTCAATATAAATATACTTTCAGGAGTATATAAAGTATTAGAAGTATGCTGCAGTCCAATAAAAAATGCAGATGGAGCTAGCAGATTTTGGAAAGTACCTGACTGCATTCAGATGGGCTAGAGATCTGACAAGTGTCTGGAAAGCAAAGCACCGGTGTTTGCGTTGCTAAATAACAGCAGAGGATGAGAAAGAAAATGGTATAGGTACAGCAGGGACATGAACTGAAGTAATAAATGCTTGACCTTTAAATTTAATCTTTGCCAGCTTCTCAGACTGCTTCTCCCAAAGACTGACATGGCTGTGTTTTATGTTATGCTTTTATTTGTCATATTTGTAGTTAGTTACAAGTAAAAATGACTGAAATCCATTGTAGTTAATACAAAATAAAAATATAGCTGCACGAGTTATGCCATGATTTTTCTTACAAACAGTATCTCCTATATGATACCATACACTTAAGAGCTTAACTCTTAATAGTATTCGCCTCCACTAAGCTCTTATTGACTAACTTCCAGTGTGATTTACTGGTTACAGATATTACCCCCATGAAGTAATATCTGTTAATCATTTCATAAAGGTATTTTTGCTGTAGTTTTTATTTCCTCTGTAATTTGTGATTCTAAATACAAGTTGAAGGAAGAAACCTTCTAGTGCAATGTTAAGTATCAGTAGAATTTTATATATAAATGTAAAATAAAAATAACCCACTGCATAAACAAACAAGGATGTAAGGTAACTGTTGTGGGTATTGTGCTTCCCTTTCCTTCCTTCCCTCTTACCTTTATTAAGTGACAGGAGTGAACATTCATAGTGAACAAACTACCCTGTAACCTCTCATTTTCAATTAATTTTGAAAAATTGTGGACTTGTAATTTTGAGAACAGGTAGGCAGCTTTGATGAAAGTTATTAGCAGAGAATCAAATCCTGTAGCTTTGCAAACTCATCCTTACGTAAACTCATCCCTGCCATGAAGTTCAATCCATAACACATTGTTCCCTTTAGAAATGCCTGAAAGAGTATTTTCATCTTTTTGAAAATATTGTCCTTACATCCCTGTAGTTATCTAACTCTTCTGTGTAGATATAGCTCTATATATGAAATAATTTGTAAAAAGATAAATTATGCTATTTTCAAAATACTCTGAGATACAAAGTTGTGCAGGTGCAAAGTTTGATAGTGTATTGCTATAAAGACTAAGAATTAATTAATTAGTGTTATCTGAGTATATGTTCTTTAAGCTGGGAGTATAGATTTAATATTGCGGGGGTTTATTTTTGCTTTTTTTACATTTCATAGCATTTCATATTTTCTTCAGACTATCTCCATGTTTCTATCAAATTCCTTCTACTTTTTTTTTTTTTTTTCCAATTTCTTATCCCTTAAAGGTGCAGTAACTGATCACACATTCACGCTTGTCACTAATGTACTTCCATAACCCTGGTAGATTGAAAAACATCCTTTCGTTTCCACCTAAACACAGTCATTTCTTCTGTGTGAATAGCGAGTGACTAGTGTCAAAAATCTTTCCCCCCACTGAAATGGATGGAACCAACTTTTCAGCTTTGTCCTCTAAGTACTCTGCTCTTTTAGTCTTACAGTGTCATGGAGCAAAGCCCCAAATAAACTATACGTGTATGCACAGTTACTGAGGCTGTTAGTATTCACAGAGCATAGCAAGGAAACCGAAATCAAATGTTCTCATTGGTATTTCTACATTTACATACAAAACTACTCACAGTGCTGTGAAATACTGAGAGAAAAGAAAACAGAACAGAAATATTTGGTTTTTGACTACTCTCCATGCATTCCTCTGACCTAACTATTAGAAAGCCAGCTGGCCAGCTTGCTTCTACTAGACGTACTCTTTTCCTGCTAGTGTCTTACCCCAGCTGACAGCATCTCTAAATTAATAAACAGCAGTGGCTCGGCCTAAAATGGTGCATGTTGCAGCCTGTGTCATTGACCTTGTTCACTCTGCATTCCAACATGATGCAATAAATTACCACTGCAGAGAAAAGGATGGAAGAAACTGAATTGCTACTACTGCCTGTGTAGCAGAAACCAGTTACTCGCCTAAGTAAAACCATGCGTATCTGGAAGGCGAAGGAAGGCTTGGGTCGATTACGCTGTTTGGTCTATCTGCAGGACAGCTGCTTGGGTCGTTTCTTCGTCAGATTGTTCCATTTCCCCGCCGACTGGGTTGTTTCTTTCATCGTACAGTTTCTGGCTAGAAACTTCTAGAGGCATCCCATACTCTTCATCATCTTCAACAATGGACAGCTCGATGTTGTTGTTCATCATGGCGTTCCCTTCCATTCTGCCTTCTTTCTCTAGAGAATCAGCTGCTGCTTTGCCCTCCTCTGTCAGCGAGGTGGTAGGTGTCATATCTGAGTGCATGTCAGCGAATGACATTTCATCCTCGTTCTCAGCTTGGTTGTTGCTTGTAGTTTCTGTTGGTCTGTCCTCAGCTTCAGCAGGGCTTTCTCCTTCACGGACTTTCTTCACATTGAATGTGAGGGGAGATACTTTGAAAGGTGAACTCTTTGAAGAAGAGGATTTCTGATGATGTACAGTAAGCGATTTCTTGATCTTTTCTCTCCGTTCGGGCGAGACAATCTTTGTGCTGATCTTGTTCATCTTCTTCTCGATGTTTTGTCGGGAAAATGCTTTCTTGAGGCTGTCTACCTTCTTGAGGCTGGATCTTTTAATTTTCTCAGCTCTTGATTCTTCTGTTTTCTCCTCTGCGCTGTCATCCACGTCATCTTCCTCATGAAGCATTTCATCATCGGAACACAATTCCACTGTGTGCAAGCTTTCTTCCAGTGTTTTGTTCTCATCCACAGGCTCCTCTTTGCCTTCTGTAATGCTGGGAATAGGCTCTTTTGCAAAAACACTGGCGGGGATCTCATTTTCCTCCTGAAAGAATTGACAATATTTGAGTTTCATAGTTCACAGGACACAAATTTAATAAACAAAGCACAACCCTGAACAATTACTTTTTTTTCCCCATGATGAGATGAAGGATGCTGAACATTTCTTGTTGTTTCAGTATATTTAACCAGTAACAAGCCACTCAAAGCCCACTGAACCATTATCTGGTACAGTTTAAGACTAATGAGCTGTCAGCTGTAAGATTTCTCTTTCAGAGTGACTTGGACTGTATACAGAATGGAAATCCCATTCTTTGTCATTTAAATTAGATGCTCTTTAATAAGGGTTTAGCTGTAAAGTTGTACACCTGTCTCTGGGGAGAAGGGATGGTGTGGTGACTAAGGAGGTCATACTACAGACCCCTGCGTAGACCTACAGAAGTCACGTAACCCCTCCGAGCTTTCAGTTTCTCTGGCCAAAGACTGGGAATATCTCTGCAGAGATGTTGTTGCATCTGATAGGTACCTTAGATAGGTACCTTAGGCAAATGTAGCTAGCACTTTCACTGTATTTCAGAAAAATGTATGTTGCTGTTAAAAATGGATTGTTGATACTGAGAAGGCATGCAGTCCATGATATTTAGAGTAGGTGCTATTTTACAGCTATTTACAGAAAAAAAAAATAGTAAATTTGGTTGGTAAATTGGTGGTTATTAAAAATACAGACAGGACAACTCCTTGAAAAATTAAAAAAAAAAGTTTATGGAATACAAAAATAAACAGACATTATACCACATAGAAAACACTAGTAGTCACTTATAGCTAAGAGGAAAATGATTGCTTTTTAGAAACAAAACCAAGAAAGGGCATGGAGAGAAAGAACGTATCTGAAAACAAAGAGGGCTGAACAAGGGCAGAAGCTGCAACTGGTAACGAAGGACCTCTGCGACTACCGAGTGCAGCAGCTCTGCAACCCCAAGCAGTTCAGAGGCAGCACAATAAACACTCTGTTCTGCAGTAGGTTTTGCAGGCATCTGCCCATGCAAAGAAAATGAGGCTCCTCGCACATTCCCTTTTATTTTCAGAATCGTTACACCTCAGATCTGCATATTCTCTATTTATCACCTTCAGAGAGAGTGCATGCAATATCCTCTAGTGTTATGCCTTGGCAGGATCTTTTTTTTTTTTGCCCCCCACCACACCCCCGATTTGTCTTTAGATATGAGAAGCAGTAAGTGCTGAGTGAAATGGTTGTAATAGTCTCAGATCTGTCCCTAGTGGGCCTGAGTATACAGTTAAGGGGGAAAAAGGCCACATACACTTCGAAGTTCATGCTCATTATTTCAGGATTGAGCATACAGTTGTGACCACTGGAGAGAATAGTGTCTTGAGTTAAATTTGCTGTCAAGACTGTATAAGGATGTCTTTATGAATATACCACAGTGCTTTACACATGGTTGTTTTTAAAAATAAAATACTCCCAAGTTCCTTGTAGTGCTTCTGGAACTCAAGAATATGCACAGGGACAGGCAGAATCATTTCACACATATATACACAGTATATAATCATATATACTGTGATTCAAGTGTGTTGATGAATATCCCTTGGGGGTATGAAAATGAAAAGTAGTAAAGAAACTGATGGCTGTTTGACAGTTTGTATGTGCTTTGCTTCTATGGTTTCTGCACACCTTCCTGAACCAGTGGCCTCAATGAGATACGCTGGCACAGATGAAACTTTCCAAGCCCTTTGCCTGCAGTGGAACATCTAATAAAGCCAGCATTTTTCTCCCGACACCTATAATGTTGTTGCAACTATCGGCAACAGTGACCAAGATAACAAAACAAAGAAAACCTGCACCAGCTTTAAGTGAAAACAGCTGTAACTGCAGTACAAATATTTATATTTTCTCTCCACTGCAGTTAATGAAATGTGGATTACATGAGTGGATGCAGTGTTAAATTGTTCCCAAGAGCACAAGAACTCAGTATAAAACATAATTTATGTGTCCTGTGCATTCTTTCCAAACCTAGGTAATCACATACAGTTTGAAGCATCTTAACATTCAGGTGTAAGTGCCTGAATGGCATAGAAAACTCTGATTTTAATGAGTAAAGATGGGTTGTAACTTTTAAAGTATTTAATCTAGGAAAGTGGTGTTGTATGAGATGAATCACAGTGCAGTCTGAGCCAGAGATGGGCCTGTGTGGCTCATCTCAAGGTCAGTTTAGCTCTGTGTCTACAGTATTCACGTTAAACTGAAGTGCTGCATGCAGTCTCTAGAAGAATATGGACATGGATTTTGTTTCAATTTTAGTCAAATTTGTGACTGAGTAGAAGGGAGACTGTCAGACTATCAGTATTTAAAAAGAAAAAAAAAAAAGCAAACAAAATATACTACACAATAATGAGCTAATGATTCAATTAAAAGCAGATCCTAGGTGGTCTTTGGTGATCAGACAGTCCTGGCATTCAAGAAATTACTTCTCTGCCCAAGATTCCTGCATGGCCCTGGAAAACATCAGCCTCTGGGCATCTATTACTCTGCTTGTAAAATGGGAATGTCATGCTTTTTCCTATCTCACGTTTCTAAAAGACCTTAGGATCACAGGAACTATTAAAATGCAAATGAAAATAAATTAAGTAAAATGCTTTGAAAATACAAAGGTGGTGTAGTAGGAATGCTCTGTGGTGGAACAGATGTTTGTTTCAAATACAGTTACTTATAACATGGTCTAAGTGGACTATTAGTAACTTTTTGGTCTAACAAGTTTATACGACACCTATATTTTGTTTGGATACATTTTTTCAGGCAGTCTGGTATTTCATTTAGGAAGACTAGAACAATACACTGAAAAACGCCAGCTGTTACAAACTGCGTAACTATTTTCCATGCCAAAAAAGGTAGAATTTTGATCTTTTCTTCTTGATCTAATCTAAGATTCTGAGAAAGCAATACATCTTTTTATTTTCCACATCCAAGTGTAAAAACAGCACTTGCATTTTCTCAGGTGAGCCTGACTGTAGGTAGCTAGCTCCTCTGAATTTTATTCATCCACGTAGAAGCCAAATAGACCTGTGCAAGTTCTCTGTATAAAACAACTCTTGCTAATACTTGCAAAGTTAAAATCAGTGCCTTCCCTATGGCTTTGATCAGCCATACTCGGGAACTTTCCATAGGTCATAATCTCTTGTTTTACCTATGTTTTACCAGAAAGGAAGATAAGATCCCTAACGGTGCACTACAAAACCGGACAGTCTGAGTCAACAGGTAGTTAATTTACTCAGGAGTGCTGAATTTCTGATGCTGCATAAGGGAAATCGGTGTGCTTTGGTTGGGATTTTTGTTAGATTTGTGGTAAGAGGCCACGGCCTTCAAGAAAGAGAAATGGCATTTTCCCGTGCTTACAGCAGTCCAGGCTCCCCTGTACTTTGTAGATACTGTTATATGCCTAAGTGATTACTAATCTAAAACTTGTTTTCCTGCACAAAATAGGTCAAAAGATGACAAATCCTCCTAAAAACAGCTATAGCTCCACCTACTTTCCTTTGGACGAACAGATGCTTGTCAGACCTGGATCTCAGCACAGGGAGAGAGGAGGGCAGGGAGCAGGCTGGGACCGCGGGCAAAGAGGAGGAAATTTCCAGTTGCCCATTGGCACGTCTTGTGCAGGGTAGGATGTTTTGGGAATGCGTTGTGGGTTTGGCTGCACCGTCCCCCTGACCTCCCACAGCACAGCTGGATCAAGTCCTAAGAGCCATGTGAGATATTTTTGTCATTAATCAATATAAGGAGTATTCTCCCTGCAAGGCTCCGGTGGGAAATTTAGTAGTTAGATAATAGCATGATCAGTTTGTAATTCTTCTGTTTCCCTCACTTGTTCATTTTTGAGTTTGAAGTTGCTTTTTAAAAAAGATTATGACAGGGACCCAAACAACAGGGTACAACCAAACGGCTAATTTCCTGTGCCTTCCTCTTGCTTCATTTCAGGATGAAGCATTTACCAAGAGCAGCAGTTGAAAGGGGCTTGAATATCAGAGTGCTTGACCCCAAGTTGTAATTTTGACTTATTTTATCTGTCCTATTCACTAGTAAACATGACATTTAATTGAAAAATTAAACATGAGCCTTTTTTTATCTTGCATTTTGCTTTTGCAGCTAAAAAAGAAAACAAAAACCCCACCAAACCAGAACCAAAAAGCTGGTCATGTGGCGACAACAAAATAGAGGGGAACAATGCCAAAGCTTAACAAGGATTTTTAAAACAGTCACTTCAGTGTTTTGCTAAATTGCTGTGTCACTTGTGGCATTTGTAATAACTTTTGCATCCTCAAATGCATGGAATGGAGCTCCATTAAAATATGTCACCAATTAAAGAAATATATGCAAACTAGGAACAACGCAGACAGTCTAGGGAGAGAAAACTAAGAGCATTTTAATGGAAAATATGTAAATAGCTGAACTTTTCTAAGCGCAGTTCATTCTCAGCATGTACGCTGAGGGAAAGCTGATGCTGGCGAGTGGCAGCACGGTTTCATAAAACGTGGCGCTGGAGCTCAGTCATGTGTTCTGGTTATGCTCAGTGCTCCCACCAAGTATCAGGGAGTTTGAGGTATATGGTGAATGCAGAATGGAATCACAAATGTCTATTTTTATTTTCACACCGAGCTGTCTTCCTAAGCTGGAAAAGCCAGTCCTAATGAGAAACGTACTGTGTGAATTTTGGGATTGGTTTTTTTCAGTGGAAAAGAAAAATCTGGCAGCTGAAGAGAAGTCTCATACATCCAGATTTCCCTTTTGTTTTTTACAGAAATCTGGCGTCAATATGGCTTCATTGCTGCGACTTCTCCTTCCTGCAATTGTTTTTTCATGGATTCCTGTTTGGGGCAGGGCACAAACCCAGCCAGCCTTCTGCTTTTCCCTCTGTACCATTATTCTAGTGAGGTGGTGGCCCTGCTGACTATCAGGTCGTCTCACCTCCAGCTTGTAAGGAGACCCTGTGGGGAGATTTCAAGGAGGTAGGCATGCAGGTAAGGCGCCTGCCCATGCTGGCAGCAGGCGTATGGGCACAGCTTTGTGAGCATCCACCATCCCTCTGGGTGCGGCCACTTCCCCAATGGAAAATCCCAGCTCCTCCCAGGCTCTGCTGGAGAAAGCCCCTGATGCTGCCCGCCCCAGCCACACTCCCACACCCCAGGAAGCTCTGCTGGCCGCCCTGGTTTTCCAGACAGCCACGCTGCCCTTTAGCAGCAGGCCAGTGCCAGGAGCAATTCCCAGTTGACAGCTGATTTTTTTTTTACTGAATTTAACTGCAGTGTTTCTTTTCTAAGGCTTGTGTTCCCAATCTGTGTCGGCTTGGGATTGGTTAAGTTCATCTCCCTCTGCTGTGGCAACATATTTTCCAGTGAGAGATGGGAACAGAGTCAACTAAATCCTTGTAAAAGCAATGAAGAGCAGACCTGCTGTCCAAAGGTACCAGCCTGGTGACAGGCGGTGGAGAAGCAGTGGATTTTCTTTAGCTGATGTTCTGGGATGTACGCCCTGTGTTGTTTGCTTTGGGTTTGCAGTTTAGGACCCAGTATTACAGAAAGGCTCGCAGGTTTAAATAGGCCTTAGCTTTGCAATACTATTTCGTGTGGAGAAACAAGCAAAGCCAGCCCTCCCCTGTGGGGACACTGCTTTACCCTTCAAACCTTTCTCGGTGAGTTTCACCGTTACTTTCACCCAGTTCCTGTGAGTCACTGCCACTGGGCAGCAGCAACAGAGATCCCTACCTGAGGTAACATTAACTGCCCTGCACGCACACAGCTGTGTTTTTGTCTTTCCTCTCTGCATTATGTCACCTTAAAATGCTAAAATTTGAGTTCTGGGGAGGAAGACGCTGTAGTTGTAACAGCAAGGCCTTAATTCTCTTGCTTGGAGGTAGCAGAAATACCACAAAATTACCTTCCCCCAGGCCATACTGGTGCACCCTCCCCATGGGAAGCATTCAAGGTCTAGGTCTAAACCTGGAGGTGGGAGTCAGTCATGAGCTAACGGGGTCTGGAAGATGGCACTGTTTTCCTTTACAGTAATGGATCCTAAATTACTTGCAGAAGTGCCGAGAACATGTGTCTTTTAATTTACCCAGTCCCTGGAATAATTTCCACATTCCTTCTGGGGTGGAAACCACCGCTCAGTACACACTGCAGCTCCTCCTCTTCTGGCGTGACAAGCCTGGACTGTAATTTGGGAGAACAATAAGCAGGGAGGTGGGGGCTTCCTTTCTGGGGGAAGTGCCTGTGCACTCACCAGGCCTGCCAGCTTTTAAAAAATCAAGTACTGCTCTGTTGTTTTGTGTTTATTTAAATAGAAGAAGAAAAACAACAACCACCCAAGGAGCAGAGTTAGCGACCGACAGATGTTAACACCCAACTGACAAGTTTAGTGTGAGGAGCTGGTGATGGGCCTGAGCTGTGGCTACTCCAGCCCTACTTCCTTCCCCCAGTGTATTGTGGAGGTCTGTCTTTTTTTTTTTTTTAATAAAAAAAAAGATGTGAAAGTCACGTCCTGTGTTTAGTTAAAGCTCACGCCGTGTTCTATCCAGACCATTGCTTAAAAAGGGGAAAATATGCAAACTGCCGCTATCACTGGATGGCCTCCCAGGAAGCTGAGTTTTTAGCTGAATTTTTAAGCTCATCCCTGAATGGGCCAGAGCAGCCTGTGGAGCACAGCAGGCTGTGAGGCTGAGTGTGACAGGGAGCTGCAGCGCTGCCCCTCTCCTGCTCCTGAGGGGAGACGCAATGACAATTTTTAGGGGCAGTGCTACAAGTTAGCAAAATGGGCTCTTTTCTCAACTTTGCTAAAAGAAGGCCCTTTTTTCAAATTAACTTAAACACCCCCCCCAAAACAACTCTTACCCCACATATGCTAAGGCTTAGTAAAAGATGGCTCTTTCCCCAAGTTTGCTGAGAATAAAAGGCGGCTCTTTTCCCAAGTTTGCTAAGAGTTAGTAAAAGAAGGTCTCTTTCCTCAGGTTTGCTAAGAGTTAGTAAAAGACAGCTCTTTCTCCAAGTTTGCCACAAGTTAAAGAAGGGTCTTTCCTGAAGTTTGCTATAAGTTAGCAAATAAAGGGTTCTTCCCCCATGTTTGCTAAGAGTTAGCAGGAAAAAAAAAAAAAGGGGGGCTTTTCTGCCAAGTTTGCCAAGAGTTAGCAAAAAAAAGACG